ACTATTCAACCTTTTATTCCTTATTTGTTTATATTACAACTGTGTAAATTAGAATTATTATAAACCTATATGTATCTAAGAGAAGCCATCAGTAAAGTGGAATCAAAATGGCAGAGAGCATGTTAGAAGCTCAACATTTGTATCTTCCAGTGGCACAGCGGTATGTTTGCGGACTTACAACGCTAGAAACAGGATTTCGATAACCGTGGTGGGCAGAGCACAGATAGCTCATTGTGTAGCTTTATGCTTAACTACAAACAATCACAATTCAAAAACCTTACCATTTACCACATATAAACAAAACAGATGAAAATCATTTTTACAGCTTGACAAAAACATCACTCACATACGAAACAACCAGAACATCTTTATGGAAGTTTAGATCTTATAGATCAGGGAGAGTCAGCCTGTTTTGAAGATGATTTTAGTACTTACCGCTCATGAAATTGTAAATGACGGGATTGGCAGCACTGTTAGCATAGCACAGCCAATGAGACAGAAGCGAAGCAACAGTGGTCACATCTGATTGGGGGATACCAACTGTGTATCTGCGGAAAATATTTATTTGTAAAGCTCCAAAATATACTTTGGTAGTAACAGATTAAAAAAGGCCAAAACGCATGTCAAATATTACCGTTGTAAGTTCATACTGCAACGTTTGTACTGTTTCATTGGACAAATACGAATAAATAAATCTAGTATTTTGTTGAATATCAAGAAAAGGGATGAGATACGTTCTAAACATGCACGTTAGAAAATTAGGGAGTTTCTGCTTATGTACGAGTCATTCAATGTAGCAATCTGGGGGTTGCAGGTTCGAATCCCTGTCTCACCAAACATGCTCGCCCTTTCAGCCGTAGAGGCGTTATAATCTGACGGTCAATTCCACTATTCGTTGGTACAAGAATAGCCCAAGCGTTGGTGGTGGGTGGTGATGACTAGCTGCCTTCCCTCTAGTCTTACACCGATAAATTAGGGACGCTAGCGCAGATAGCCCTTGTGTAGCTTTGCGCGAAATTCAAAACCAAAACTTTGAATGTAGAAATGACGTTACTCCATAAACCATTACCACACGTTTTCCTAAACAAAGGAAAAAGTCATTTATCACGATGAACTTCTTAACATTCTGACGCGAAGATTGGCGTAAAATGTTAAAAATTAAATCTAAATAGTTAAGGACCAAAACAAGAAACCTAAGACAAGTATTATTTCGATTAATTGTAACCTAGACTCGATTTCTAGGTTTATATACATTTTTATCTTAGCTCAAAGCCACTCAAGAGCTGTCTGCATATGGTCGTTTCTAAAGGTGAACTGATAGACTGAGGAAAGATTTGTTGTCGAAATTCGCAAAAAAGCTACTTGGGGTCATTTCACAAAGCCATCCCTAATTTTCAAAAAATAGACTAAACAGGAAGTAGTTAGTCAATACAACTCACCGCCAACTCTTGCATTACTATATATCTACGAAAAGTGGGATTGAACGTCACATTATAACACCCTAGCAACCGAAAGGATGAGCATGTTTGGTGATGGGGTTCGATCCCCTGACCTGCAAATTGCGAATCGATTGCTCTAACCACCAGAACATGTCACACCCCTATAGGGAGTATAGCTAATCAACCATCACCAACATTTTGGCTACTACTGTCTGAAAAAATAGTGGGATTTAACCCACTACTCTTATATAGCACCCCCACGACCCCAGGTTGAGGAGCTAATTTTGGGAGCAACGGAAGAATTTAAGATTAAAACTCGTAATGCTGTACATTTAGTATATTTTCAATTAAAATTTACATACACACATTTATAGTACTTACTTTTATCTGCAAATATGACTTGAGTAACATCTGGTAACAGAAATTAATCTAGTACTACACATATACACATTGGTTTCAATATGGTTTATTTAATATCTGATGGAGAAAGAAATATATATTTCTGACAAATCGATGACCCGATAACGTATCTGCGGATCATTCGCACATCTAAGAGCTTATTGCTTGTAATAAAACGTATTTCTTGGATCTTACAAGATATAATTAGATAATAATAATAATATGAAATAATCTAACGTTGTCAGTTTATAGGGCCGGATTCTTTACAGTAGGTGTCTGTGATTTGTTGGCGATTAATTCGAACAATAAACGAGCACACAATCCACTTGTTTTAAAATAATATATTCAAAACAAGTCAAATGTATGTAACAAAATTCTTCTCACTATAGGACATCACAGTTGTATCTAAAACTCTAAATATATCTTTTTTCTTGTCAGAAGTCCACACAGGCTAGATCAGTTACTTTAGAATCCAATTGACAAAACGAATTATTTTTCTCTACTTTGTTTCTTACTGCACAATCTGCGATAAATTCACTTACGTTACCCCATGGGTTACCACAGTTGTATCCAGAACTTTAAGTAATTGTCTCATTTTCGTCAAAGTCCACACAGACGGGTTCAATTACTTTAAAACACCGTTTGACAAGACAAATTATAATCCTATTCTGTGTTAAACTGTGAAACTCACTTTAAAATAGCGCTCATTACGACTAAACTAATAATCACACAGTCTAACTTCAGTTTCATTAACTTAAGGTTTTCTTATTTAACTTCTTTTGTTGGTTACCACAGTTGTATCCAGAACTTTAAATAGTTGTCTTTTTTTTTCATCAAAAGTCCACACAGGCTAGCTCAGTTACTTTAAAATCCAACTGACAAGACAAATTATTTTTTCCTATCTCTGTTGTTACAATACAGCTGTGAAACACACCAAAGAAATCACGCGTTAAGGCTAATAATTCACACGCTGTCTAACTTCACGTTTTCTTTCACTAACTAAATTTTTGCTAACTTAACTTGCCCTCACTTGGTCGCCTGTATATATATTAGGGCGTCAAGAAATTAATGTCGTATTTTTTAAAATGAATAGAGACGAACAACTTATATATCAAAACAAAACATTTTTTTAAATGAAATAGTCTCCATTCTTATCGATGATGCTTTCCCATTTTCAAATCAGGTTGTTAATGCTCTGATTAAAGAAATCACTTGGCTTTGAAGCAAAAAACATGTCGATGTCCTCTTTAACACCTTCCACATTTGCATCCGTTTTCCCATTAAGATGGTGATGCAGCGAACGAAAAAGATGGTAATCTGATGGTGCCATATCTGGAGAATATGGTGGGTGGGGGAGAACTTCACAGCCCAACTCCATAATATTGTGTTGCATCAAACGTACCACATGTGGACGTGCATGGTCGTGGAGAAGAAGAACACCTTTCCGATTGACAAGTGAAGGGCGTTTCTGGTGAAGTGCTTGATTTAAACGTTCCAGTTGCTGACTATAGATCTCTACATTGACAGTTCGCCGTGGATTGAGTAGTTCGAAATGAATTACTACTTTGATGACCCACCAAATGCAAAGCATCACTTTCTGCGGATGAAGTCCAGGTTTTGGGGTTGGAAGTGGTTTTTCTCAAGGGCTGAGCCATTGTTTTTGGCGTTTAATATTCGCATAGAGAACCCATTTTTCATCACCGGTGTCAATTCTGTCCAAAAATGGTTCAAGCGCTTTACGCGCTAGAAGAGACGAAGCAACGTTTACACGCTGGAAACGATGATCATCGGAGAGTTCGTGAGTCACTCAAACACCTTCTTTATGGAGTTTTCCCATATTCGTTGGATGTTTACGTATGGTTTCATGAGAGACATGCAATTTCAGGGCCATTTGACGAGTGTGTTGCCTTGATTTAGACTCAACAAGCGTCTTCAAAGCATCAATATCAATTCCAACATGTCGACCCCTCCAACACCGGTTTTTAAGCCGGAGGCACCCGGAA